TATATATATATATATATTTTTTTATGTAGAATATATAAAACATATTTCTGTGTTAATATAATACATAATGATACATTAAATATTTTAAAGATAAACAGTCTAGTTGGCACAACAGGAATCTTCACTATTTTCGGCATCTGCTCTTTTTTGGAAGCAATTTTTATTTATCTTGCTCTACCAGAAACGAAGGATCGCACGCTTCAAGAAATTGAAGAATACTTTCAAGTAAGAAAATTTAATTAAAAAATGGGACAAACTTATTAATAGCTAACAGTACAATGAATGTATAATTGTATATTTATAGCAAAGTAACTTTCTATGGATAACCAGAACAAAAATGAAAAGAGAGAACATAGGTGTGCCTACAAAAGCTGAATTTAATTGTTTAATCCCTTTATCTGAGTGTAAATAAGAATAAAAAAACGTAATTAGGATTTATGTACGACTGCGATAATATTTAATGTTAAATGTAATTGTATATATTTTTATTATTTCGAGATAGAGATTTCTAAGAATATCACGTTGACGTACGGGATATGTGCGATTAAATATATAAGTTAAAAAATTTTATTTAAACTTTATGATTAGTATTTGAATAAAACTTTTGATAAGATTTTTTTCCGTTGTAATTATTTAATAAAATAAATGTATTTCTTTAGACAATAAAAAGCGACAGATAATATATATATCGATTTATAGTTTTTTTATCATTGGCTACATTCGCCTATCTTTTTATACATTAATTGATAATTTTTTTGATTGATTGTTTTTTGATAATTTTGTAAGAGATTAGCAATTACAATACTGTTTTGTATTGACAGATATAATTGATAAATTTTTAATCATCTTTTGATCACATTATCGTGTAAAAAATTTATAGCCGTTTAATGATAGTAATATATATGCTTTGTAAAAAATGATGAATTTTGTTATTATACATTTTCGTTCTTTTTTAATAAAATATTTTGTAAGCTACGTGTTTATATATACATGCAAAACTTACTATATACTTTGTATTGTAATATATT